AGAGCATTTTGTTTACAAAAAGACGCCCGTCGGGGAAAGCCAAGTTTCCCATGTTTTCTCTCATATGGGGATTTTAATGAACAAAATAAACGGTTGATTGTTATGGATCCGGAGACAGGGAAGCCCAGACCAGCCTTGGAAATCTCGAAGGAAAGGTGGGAAAGGGTGGGTGGGTGGGAGGTAATCACCCAAAGAACTGTTATGCATACCCAGGGACACAGCCAATAGGGTGGTGAAGCCCTGGGATGGGGGGGGGGGGGGGTTGGGGGGGAGGGGCACAGGGGCGGGCTGGAGAGGGTCAATGGGGGGAAAAGGGGACATAGGTAACAATAGATTAAATAAACAAGCAAACAAAAATGAATGGACAGCATCAAGACTGGAAAGGAAGAAGCAAACTGTCTCTATTTACTGATACACAATTCAATACATAGATACCCTAGGGAATTTACAGAAGCTACCAGAACTTACATGGATTCAGCAAGGTCGCAGGGACTTGGGAAAGAAAATTTGCACATATGTGGTTGCATGTGCATAGAGAATGGAAGGATTTCTGCTGGTCAGGAGGAAGGAGACAGGACTCCGGGGACAATGGTGGGACCACTGATTTAAATTTTTTTAAATCTATTTTTTCACATTAGAAAAAAGTTAGGGCTAAACCCTGTGGGCAAAATGAAAAGTCTGTGTGGGTGACTCCCACTGTAAGAAAATCAGCTCCAGAGAATAAAAACAAATTGTTAATAGTGGTTACCTGGAGGGTAAGATTTTGGGAAATCTTTTACTTTTAGGATTCCCATTTTGTTTGGAGGTATTACAATAGCATGTATTAGTTTTGCCGTCAGAAAAAAAAAGGTTGGGGGGGGGGAGTGGACACAGGACACTTGCACTTAACCAGACAGACCTTCCCCTACTGGTCCGGCTCCCTCACCCTGGGCTCACCCTTTCACTCCTGTCAGCAGGCAAAATCCAGGCTAAAGGTCACTTAGGAAGGGAGACACTTTCTTTCATTTAATCCTCACAACTCTGAGAGGGAAAAATTTTAAATGCCACTTTACAAAGGTCTAGAGAAGGTGTGCAAATTGGCTAAGGGCACACAGAGAGCTAGTGAGATGGAAACGGGGATTCAATTCTATTCTATTTGTTGAATGAATACGCTCCCACGTATTCATTCAACAAATATTTATCAACTCCAACACTTCCAGGAGCTAGAGATGCAGCAGAGTAACCCATTGAGAGAGTATGTGGCTCTGGGCCCGTCTCCAGTCATTTTTCACCACGCCCCACAATGTCTCCTCTAACTCCAGAGAGGACCAGCTGTTCACCTCTCGAAAGAGGCCACTTCTGTTCATTTAATGTGCAGTCTTTACTCCCCCACTCTCCCTTACTCTCCTGCCAGCCTTTAAATCCTACCCTCTGGACCCCATGTCCTAAATACCTCTCGAAAGAGGCCACTTCTTTCCACCCACTGCTGGCCTCCCTAGACCAGGGTTGGCAATCTTTTTCTTAAAGGGCCTGATTGTAAATATTTTAGATTTTTCAGCTTGAGAGGCAAACTGGAGGATATTACATAGTCACATAGCCATTTAAAATGCAATTATTTAGTCTTCCTGATTCAGTTTTGGAAGATTTCATTTTTCTAGGAATTTTTCCATTTCATCCACATGGTCCAGCTTGTTGGCATATGGTTGTTCATAGTATTTTCTCACATACCTTTGTATTTCGGTGGTGTTCAGTTGTTACTTCACTGCTTTTGTTTCTGATTTTATTTATTCGGGTCCTCTCTTTTTGTTTATTGATGAGTCTGGTTAGGGGTTCATCAATCTTGTTTATCTTTTCAAAGAACCAGCTCTTGGTTTCATTGATTTTTTTAAATTTTTTTTAGTCTCTATATTATTTATTTCTGCTCTAATCTTTTAAAAAAATATATCTTTATTGATTTTTTACAGAGAGGGAGGGAGAGGGATAGAGAGTTAGAAACATTGATGAGAGAGAAACATTGATCAGCTGCCTCCTGCACACCCCCCACTGGGGATGTGCCCGCAACCAAGGTACATGCCCTTGACCGGAATCGAACCCGGGACCCTTCAGTCCGCAGGCCAAGGCTCTATCCACTGAGCCAAACCGGTTAGGGCTCTAATCTTTATTTTTCCTTCCTTCCACTTACTCTGGGCTTTTCTTGTTGTTCTCTTTCTAATTCTTTAAGTTGTAGGGTTAAATAGTTTATTTTTAATTTTTCTTGGTTTTTGAGGTAGGCCTGTAGTGCTATGAACTTCCCTCTCAGAACTGCTTTTGCTGTGTCCCAGAGATTTTGGGTTGTTGTGTGTTCATTTCCATTTGTTTCCAGGAAGTTTTTTATTTCTTTCTTAACCTCATTGGTAATCCATTCATTGTTTAATAACATGCTATTTAGTCTCCATGTGTTTGAATGTTTTTGAGTGTTTTTACTGTAGTTGATTTCAGGAAGAATCAGAAAACCTAAACAGGCCAATAACAACTGAGGAAATAGAAGCAGTAATAATAATAATAAAAAAACTCCCAGCAAACAAAATACCTGGTCTGAATGGCTTCACAGGGGAGTTTTACCAAACATTCAAAAAAGAACTAATACCTGTCCTCATCAAACTATTTAAAAAAATCCAAGAGGAAGGAACATTTCCAAGGTCTTTTTATGAGGCCAGCATTATCCTAATTCCAAAACCAGATAAAGACACTACAAAGAAAGAGAATTATAGGCCAGTATCCCTGATGAACATATATGCTAAAATTCTCAACAAAATATTAGCAAATCTGATCCAGCAATATATTAAAAAGATCATACACCATGACCAAGTAGGATTAATTCCAGGACTGCAAGGCTGGTATAATATTCACAAATCAATAAACATGATACATCACATAAACAAATTGAAAGATAAAAATCACATGATCATATTAATAGATGCAGAAAATGCATTCAACAAAATCTAACACCCATGTTTTGATAAAAACTCTCAGCAAAGTGGGACTAGAGCAGTGATTCTCAACCTGTGGGTCACAACCCTGTGGGGGTCGAACGACCCTTTCACAGGGGTCGCCTAAGACCAACAGAAAACACATATATAATTACATATTGTTTTTGTGATTAATCACTATGCTTTAATTATGTTCAATTTGTAACAATGAAAATATATCCTGCATATCAGATATTTACATTATGATTCATAACAGTAGCAAAATTACAGTTATGAAGTAGCAACGAAAATAATTTTATGGTTGGAGGTCACTACAACATGAGGAACTGTATTAAAGGGTCACAGCATTAGGAAGGTTGAGAACCACTGGACTAGAGGAAGCATATCTCAACATAATAAAGGACATATGACAAACCTACAGTGAACATCATACTAAATGGTCAAAAACTAAAACCATTTCCCCTAAGAATAGGAACAAGACAGGGATGCTGACTTTTACCACTCTTATTCTAGCACTGGAAGGCCTAGCCACAGCAAGCATCCAAATTGGAAAGAAAGAAGTAAAACTTTCATTATTTGAAGATGACATGATATTGTACATAGAAAACCCTAAAGACTCCACCAAAAAACTACTACATTTAATAAATGAACTGGCAATGTAGTAGGATACAAAATCAACATCCAGAAATTGATGGCTTTTTTATACACCAATAATGAGTTATCAGAAAGAGAAACTAAACAAATAATCCCATTTACCATTGCAACAAAAAAATTAAGATACTTAGGCCTGGTCGGCATGGCTCAGTGGTTGAGCATTGACCTATGAACCAGGAGGTCACTGTTCAATTCCAGATCAGGGTACATGCCCAGTTTGAGGGCTCGATCCCAGTAGGGGGCATGCAGGAGGCAGCAGATT